TCTAAATTTATTTTTCCTGTGAAGGATGGAGGACTACAGCGACGACGAGGACTCTGCTACAGTCAGTGTCAGAAATGCCAAACATCCTCTTAAATGTAAGTGACTATACATATTTTATGTTTCAATAGGATTAAAAACTAACAATATTACCCAAAAGTATTTCATACATTTTTATTCCCTCTGAAAGAAGTTATACTTTCTTAACGTGCTGTATCAGGAGATGTTTTTATGTCGCATGTAAACCTGAAGCTTTAGTTTTCTAGTCTCATCTGAGAAATTTCTCTGCAAGTCAAGTTTAGTTGTATAGCACATTTCAGCAACAATTCAAGATGACAACCAAACAAAAGACATTTTCAGCCTTTTTGATTAATTTACTTATGAAATAAGTCAAGGAGTAGCAGGCAGTGCCACAGGCTGCACCGGTGTTTGCGCGCCTCAGTCTGGTCCTCAGTCAGGCGCTGGTCTTCCTCAGACATGGATCGGCTGATCCCAGGGGTAGACCTCTGTCTTCTGGTTTCACAACTGGTGACAGCACTATGTATTTATGATGGATTTCCGCTTTCATGGTGTAAAGCACTTTGAACATCCTTGTTGCTGAAATGTGCTGTACAAATAAACCTTATTGATTGATTAATCAATAACCTATCGATTCCATTGTTTGTTTTTTCAGCTAAAGAAGACACGAAATCATCAACACTCAGGCTCTATTCTGTGTTCTCGGTGTGTTTGGGGTTTCTTTGTGTCGCAATGACTGCAAACATCATCTACAGTGAGTTTCATTTCAACAGAATAGGTTTTAAGTAGCTTCCTTTATCAAGATGGCGGATGGTGCGGAGTCTGGCTCGGGAGCTCCTTTTTCCAGTCGCCCCCAAACTAAACCTCAGATTGCAGATCTACAAGACTACTGATGGAAAGCATATAGTAGAGGATGAGTTTTTAAACATTCTTGCTTTCAAAATCAAGACTATGTGTCAGGAAGAGCTTGTGCTGCTTGCATCAAACACATTTGACTATGAATGTATTGAGTCATGTTTGAACTAAGTAGTGGTACAAATCAGAAGGCTTGAAAGGCCATTAAAAGTTTAATAATGAATGAGTGTGGGAAATCATTACCACACTTTGTCTCCCACTTCCTGGAGGAGCTGTTTCCTTTGACATTCAACTGCCTGGATGTCTCCTACTCACTTAGCCAGATGGAGCGTTTACATAGTGAGGTTTATGCCCTAAAGCAGTGGTCCCTAACCTTTTGATTAACCCAGACCGGTCGAGAATTGGCAATTTTGCTGCGGCTTGGGGCAGTGTCGGGGTGTTGTCACATTTTTTTTTTTCCTCAGATTTTCCTTTTACGACAATCTTACAATGACATCGAAGGTCATATGTGGAAATGTTTATTACTATAGCTAAAGGTATTTAATATACACTTACAATATGTGGTTATGTTTATTTAGTTAAAAATGTTAACTACAAAAAACAAAACTCACCACCAAATTATAGTGCAGCAAATAGAGCAAATGCTCCCCACTCTTTTATCAAATGCCTTTTCTTTTTGTTACGTCTTTTATCGGTTAAAACCGTGGTTCTTAACCAGGTCCTTAACCAGGGGTTCGATGGAATCCCAGGGGTTCGATGAGTCGGTCTCAGGTGTTCGGTGGAGCCTCTGCTGCAGAGACAAAGACACTTGTGTAAGGTCGTGATGACGCGCCCCGCTCGGCCATCACTTGCTGCAGAGGATCACGTGACATTGCTGGCCAATCAGTGCTGCAGAGAATTTAGTGGACGCAGTAAACAGCTGTTGTAGCTGTACGTAGTGTGGTTTCTTTCTCAATATTTTAATCCATACGAAACACGTCGAGAAAAAAAAGAACTAATATGTACAACGTATTCACGTGTGTCACAGGATGGGATGGGAAGGGAGTCAGAGTCCCATCTGCATGATATGCAACGGCAAGTTGAGCAACTGTAGGCTTGCACCGGCAAAACTGAGGGAGCACTTCTTGAAGCTGCATAGAGATGGCAAAAGTAAAAAAAGTATTTTGTGGATTCAAAACAACAAAAAACAAATTAAATTTCAAATAAAATAAAAAATTAAGTTATTAAAAAAATTTAAATTCTTCAAAAAATCCAAATATATTTTTAATTAGTAAAATAGCAAAAAAATATTTTTTGGGGGGCTGAAATACTTTTATGGGGCCAAAATATTTTTTATGTTGGTTTTGTTCTTTGAGCAAGGTGATGTTCATGCTCGACTCCTGGCACCAGTAAAAAAAAGAGCATACCTATGACCTGAATTTTGAAAAAAAAAAATCATTTTATTTATCATTGAAGAAGGGTTCAATGAATGCTTCACATATAAACTTGTGGGTTCGGTACCTCAAATATGGTTAAGAACCACTGAGTTAAAATGAGTCCACAGACTGTCACTACTGCTTCTACATCGTCATCTGTGTTTTATTATTCTAAATTCACGTGTGGTATGTTGGGGGGTTTACTGGATTTTGTTCAGGGATCAGGATGTTAGTGACTGGAATCGGTTCATGTGTGGTGTGTTGCTTCTGTCTTGTTGCTGGACACACGAACTGATCGAACCTGTTGGACTTTTATCGTCTCTGTGGTCACAGAGGTTTGGAAAATCGGCCGACAATCCTTAAATCAGACTTAAAACTCACAAGCTCCACTCCTCTCATCTTGTCTCAACCGCTGCCCTAACGCTCTCTGACTCTGGTCACTATGGGAACATTTACATATCCCTTCAAAAGAAAATACAGATGTGCCACAAAAACAATCATTTTACTTTCGTGAAAATTTTAACTCACGATAACGACTAATGTCTGTGATTTCCGGGTGCAAAACATGGATTTCTCCGCTCAGTGCCTCAGACAAATGATTTGCCTGTGCGGATAAAGGAGTTTTTTTTTCTTTCTTTTCTGTCGGCTGAACTGATGTTATGACATATGAAACATTTTAAAAGGGAGCCCTGAGGTTGTTTCCATCGGGGAGTAATGTGAAACAATGACACCAGAAGTGTTGCTTATGCGGAGTGCTTGGTCTATACAAGGCGAAACAGTTTGAAGCTTCATTGCCTCATCAGCGAACCATATCATGCAGAGCAGCTTGGACTGTGAGAATCACCTACTGGGATAAATCCATTCTCCTCTCTCCTCTGGGCCTTTACCCCTTCGCAAAGAAACTTTCCAAAGACATCTGATCTGTTTCTTACTCATTTTGCTGCTTTTGGGCTCAATGTTGGCACACAAGACGTAACTGAGACAATCTGGTTAGACTTAGACTTAGACTTAGACTTGACTTTATTGATCCCTTGGGAAGACTCCCTCAGGAAATTATAGAGGATTTACAGAGGATTTCCAAAATAAAAGATCATCCAGACTCAAGTAATACATAAAATGGAAATATTTAATTATTCCCCAGGCCAACCCCCGCGTTCAGGAGAAGTTGCGTGAAGTTACCACTACCATTGACCGCAGAGTTGTGGCAATGGAACGACATTTGTGCCCGGTGGTGTAGGATTCAGCAGTGTGGATATGCCTTGTCCAGGAATACCCAACGCCAATGAGGAGGTGGCGGCATGCATGCGTTGTGTTCCAACAAACTGTGTTACTGCTCATTATGCGGCTTTACTCGTGAATTGAATTTACTCAAGACTGTTTCAGGACTATTGGTGAGCCTGTCGCTGTGGGTGATAACCGACACTGTACTGTAGATGCGCCCACGAGTGAATGACACCTTATGAGTGTCCTCAGAATGAATATTTATTTGAATAGACTTGCTTTCTTGAACTCTTTTATTGATGACCATTATTTTACCTCTGTATATGTTGTAGGTGATATGAATGCAGATATATCTGATGAATATTCTTCATTTGTCATACATATGCATCAGTTTTGTGAAGACAGTTTCATATTGTTCAGTCAGCTCCTCCTACCTGTAGATAGCTATACCTAGATAAGTGAAGCTGGCATACAACGCCATGGCTTGACCATTGCATTAGCTCTGCTGATGCCCATGCTGTTGTAAAATCAACAGAAATCTTATATGAGTATTCTGTCAGATCATGTTCCATTTTAATGATGCTGGATATTGAAATTCTTCCAGAGTTATATGGGGGCAAATAGATGACTTACTAGCATATCATATAAAAACTGATCTTCTTTTGAGTAAAAAGAAGATCAGTTCAATCTATTATGTGCTCACACGTTAATTGCAGCGCTGTTTAGCACTGAAACCTCAGTTATCAGTTCCATAAGAATAACACATGCTCATACTTCATTATTAGCGCACTCTTCCAAGTAAGCAAACCAAAGTTGTATTTTCCAAGATTCCAACATTAGAACAAAACTAAGAATCCAGAAAAACTACCATATAAATTACTTTTTATTCTTCCAACCCAGAAAAGGAATTAGGCCAGAGGTATTTACTTGTACTTATCTAGCAACCCTGAATAAAAGTATCTAGTTTATATGCTTTGGATCAACATTATTAGATTTGTTTTTCTTTCTTTTGCTCTTTCCTTTGGTCTGTTATTTTATTTGTATTTCCTTTTAATTCACGTGAAGTACTTTGAATTGCCTGGTTGCTGAAAATGTGCTGTATAACTGAAATATTTTAATGCTCTCTGATGCAGACAGTTTCCCTGACTTCATAACAAATTTTTGTGTTTTGATAGTGAGTTTGACGACGGCCGGTCAGCAGGAAAATGTCACAAGACTTGCAACAGAAAAAAAGCAACTGATTCAGGAACGAAAAATGATGGAGAACAAGATTGAGAAGGTGAACCGAGACAGAGACTTGAGCCATGTAAGAACGAGGCTTACCCGAAAGAGGCTTTCTCAAGACAGAGAGAAGCTGAAGAATAAAACAGAGGAACTTAACAAAGAGAGAGACGAGCTGAGCAAAGAGAAAGAGGAGGTGAACAAACAAAGAGGAGCTGAGCCAAGACAGAAACAAGCTGAAAGATAAGACAGAGAAGCTGAACAAAGAGAGAGATGATGTGAGGAAAAAGAAAGAGAAGTTGAGCAAAGAGAAAGAGGAGATGAGCAAAAAGAAAGAAGAGCTGAGCAAAGAGAAAGATAAGCTGAGCAAAGACAAAAAGGAGCTGAGTAAAGAGAAAGAGGAGCTGAGCCAAAATACCAATGAGAATGTGGATCTCAGAAAAGAGAAAGAGAAACTGAGCAAAGAGAAAAATGAGCTGAGGAAAGAGGAAGATGAGCTGAACAAAAACAAAGCAGAGCTGAGCAAAGAGAAAGAAAAACTAAGCAAAGACAAAACAGAGCTGAGCAAAGAGAAAGAAAAACTAAACAAGAAAAAGATGATTTAAGCAAAGACAAAAGAAGGTGAGCAAAGATAAAAATGACCTGAATAAAGAGGAGGACCATCTAAAGAATTTAACAACAGAGCTGAGCAAAGAGGAAAATGAGCTGAAGAGAAAGACAATGGAGTGGAACAAAGAGAAGAATGAGCTGAACAAAAAGAAAGAACAGCTAAGCAAAAACACAATGGAGCTGAACGAAGAAGAAGAGAAGCTGAACAAAAGGAAAGATGAGCTGAAAAACTTGAAAGCAGAACTGAGCCAAGAAAAAAATGTGCTGAGAAAGAAAACGATCAAAGAGATCGAGGAGCTGAACAAAATCAAAGATGATCTGAGCAAAAAGAGAGCAGAGCTGAGAAAAACAACAGATGAGCTGAGCAAAGAGAAAGACGAACTGAGTAAAGAGAAAAGGGAGCTGAGCAAAGTGAAAGACAAACTGAACAAAGAGAAAGATGATCTGCACAAAGAGAAAGAGACACTGAACAAAGAGAAAGAGACACTGAGCAAAGAAAAAAAGGAGCTGAGCAAAGAAAATGATGAACTGAACACAAACCGAGACAAGCTAAGCAAAGAAAAAAAGGAGCTGAACATAAAAAAAGATGAACTGAGCAATAAGAGAAAGGAGGTGGACAAAGAAAAAGATGAACTGAATAAAAAGAAAGGCGACCAGGACAAAGTAAAAGCAGAGCTGAGCAGGAAGACAGAAGAGTTGAACAACGAGGAAAAGGATCTGAATAAAAAACAATTGGAGCTAAACAAAGAGAAAGAAGAGCTGGGCAAAGAGAAAGTGCATCTGAGCAAAGAGAAAACGAAGCTGGACAAAGAGAAACAGGAGCTGAACAAAAAGAAAGTCGATCTGAACAAAGAGACAGCGGGTCTGAACAAGGAGAAACAGGAGTTTAGTAAAAACAAAGCGGATGTGAACAAAAAGAAAGAGGAGCTAACAAAGAGACTGTGAATCTGAGCAACAAGGCGGAGCAGCTGAACAAAGAGACGAAGGAGCTGAATGAAAAGAAAGCGGAACTGAACAAACTGAAAGCGGATCTGAATAAAGAGAAAGTGGAGCTAAATGAAAAGAAAGTGGAGCTGAATAAAGAGAAAGAAAAGCTGAGCGCAATAAAGAAGGAGTCGGACAATCAATGCAAAGAGAGAGATGCCCTGAAGACCTTCTACGACAACGTCATGAAATTTGAACGATTTCCAGTTTCAGAGCTGTGTCCTCTAGATAGTAATTATATTCTGGATTACCTTTGAAACTCTTGGTTATTAATTTTATTTTTGAAATATTCAACTAAGTGTTTCAAGACACAGCTGACCATTATAATCAGATTATAATCACAGGTAGAGTGCTGAAGGTCACTTTCCTGACAACAAAGTGAGCCAGTAAAATTGATTCATTAGCTCCAGGTTAACAGCCAACTTTTGATTTCAGAGAATATTATTTTTAGTGAACCCTGCGGTATGCCACTTCTGACTAGAATAATGTCTTAATTTAATCACCTTCCAATACTGATCCGCACTCTACCTTTAAAAGCTTTTTTAGAGGAATTTTGATAATGAAAATATTAAATAAGTCCACATGGATTTCTTCTAGAAATGTATTTTTTTCTTTTTGATATTTGACCAAAGTTTCACTTCATTATGCTCTTTCCCCTTGTCTAGTGAGACCAAAATGTCTGGATTGCAGGGTCGGATGGCTTTCCTTCAGGGGACACTGCTACTGGTTTTCAGATAGAGGTCATTCTTTGAATTTCTGGAACGTGTCTCGAGACTTGTGTCAGCATGATAGTGGATATTTGGCTATAATTGATGATCTGGAGGAGCAGGTAAAACATAACATCACCTCTACTCTAGAAATTTAAAACGAATCTGAAAGTTTCTGGAAGATTGATCGCTTGACAATACTGAATTGCCCATATAAATTGAATCAATACGACCTAATTAAATTTTTTAAGTGAGAATAGAAAACCAAAGAGGAGGAGGTGTTGCCCTAATACATGATGATTTCTTTAATTGCAAAAAATATTTTTAGGTCATTTGAACTCTTGAATATCTGGGAATTGAGGTAAAAAACCACAAACAAGGTCTGATACTAACTCTATGCAAAACTCCAATATATGTGGAAAACTTCTTTATTGGCTTTAATGGGCTTTTATGTGTTACATGCATCAATTATGATAGTTTCATAAAGTCTGCATTCTTGCTTTGTTGAAGCGCATACATGATGCTAGGAATGAATCTTGGCTCAATATCCATATGCTCCCACTAGCTCAGGTTATATCAACAAATAAGATCATCCACCATAACTACGCAGATGATACACAGCCAGTGATGGCATAGTTACCCTGAAAAAGTAACTGGATTACTGATTACTCCTTAAGAAGTACCTTAGCTAAATTACTGATTACTTGATTTGGTAAAGCGTTACTGACTTCACTGATGTCACCAGGTGACTCTGAACCCATCCAATCACTGAACAGATACTTAGAGCAGATAAATGTGAGGATGTGCCAAAACTTTCTGCGTGTTTCAGGAGTTTCCCTGCGTCAACCCAGCTCATTTCAATTGATGAATGATTAACAGGTATTTGCTGCACTGCAATCACCTGAATCAGGAGTACAAAGGCAGGGAGACATCTAAAATATGCGGGGCAGTCTGCCTTGAGGACCAGAGTTGGAAAACACTGATGTAGAGTCAATGCACAGCTTCAGCTATTACATCTGGAAACCAGTGATCAGACTAAAACCTGGGAGCGGTGATGGACTCAGACCTGAACCTTCAGGGTCACATAAAGGCAGTCATAAAGTCGGCCTTCTATCACCTGAAGAACATCTCCAGGGTTAAAGGGCTAATGTCCCAACAAGATGTAGAGAAACCCAATCATGCGTTTATCTTTAGTCGCATTGATTGCTGCAACATTGTCTTCATAAGTCTGACTAACAAAATCAATCCTCCAGCTGCAGCTGATCCAGAACGCTGCCGCTGGCGTTCTGACTAAAACCAGGAAGATGGAGCACATCGTCCCAGTTCTACAGTTCCTCCACTGGATCCCTGCAGCTCAGAATAAAGTTTAAAATACTGATATTAGTTTATGAATCACTGAACGGTTTAGCACCACATGAACCATCTGCTGCTGTATCAACCCTCCAGACCTCTCAGGTCGTCTGGTTCTGCTCAGCATCCCCAGAACCAGAACCAAATATGGAGAAGCAGCTTTCAGCTTCTATGCACCACAAATCTGGAACAAACTTCTAGAAAGTTGTAAACAGCTGAAACACTGAGTTCCTTAAATCTAAAGAGCCAGCTGTTTAGAGTTGCTTTTGAAACATTATAAAAGAAACTATCAACATTTTGATTACCATTTTGTAACGATAGAGAAAATTGACAAAATGTAACGCTTCAGTTTTTAACTGTGTTCTATGACTGTATTTTTATGATGCAAAGCACTTTGAACTGCCTTGTTGCTGAAGTATGTTGTATAAATAAACTTGATTGATTGATTGAAGTAAAAGAGATTTATGACAGTCTGAAATGAAATCTGTTCACAGAAATTTATCGTCAAGCATGCCAAACCCTACGAATCTCAACACCAAGGATACTGGATAGGGTTACATCATAAACTCGCCGGATGGTTCTGGGTTGATGGACGTAAGAACGCTCTTGAGTAAGAACTATTATCCAAAAATATACATATTTAGAGCTACTGTGTGTAACTTTTATAGAAAATACATTTTCATATTTGTTTGAAACGGCTATCATGTCCTAACAGTATGGTATCTAAAAAGATTAATAAGGTGTGAAAAATTTGGGCTCCTCTGCCTTCTCCCATTGCTCTGAGTGCTAACTGGAAACAACCAATCAGAGCCTGGAGGCGGGTCTTAGCGCTGTCAGTCACAACCTAGTGTGGCTGCTCTCTGCTACTGCTTTTGCCTATCAGCAGATCCTGCTGTGATTGCTCAGGCTAGTTAGCATAGCAACTGATGGCAGTTTTCCTGTAACAGTAAGTTGTTTCTCTGCCATTAGCACAGTTAGCAGAAACTAAATGAGGTTGAGTGAAAACGTTAAGACCCTCCTCCTGGCGTAGCAACTGTCCCTGTAACTTTAAAGTTGGGCTTTTGCTATGTTTGTGCTTCTGTTGATGGCAATGCCTTTGACTAGGCCATTATTGTAACATGCAATGAAACATTAAGTTGGTGAAGGCCTTCACTGGTTAAATCAGGGGTGATCAAGACAAAAGACCTGATTTGCAAACACATGCTGCCATGAAGAATTCTGTCCAGAGGGATGAATAATTTTTAGACTTCATCATTGGAAGTAGTTCCTTATGTTGAATTTGGATCAAATATTTTTGTTTCATTAGGTTTAGTTACATTTGTGTAGTGTTACTCATTTCTTGAAAACATCTGAGAAAATCCTAAGTTGCTGTTGTAGTTGAGTAATTTTAGATTCAACAGTAGAAACAAGGACATTTACGGTGCGGAGGTGGCGCTGGAGTAAACGCTCGACCCGTGTATAGACGCAGCTATCACAGGTTTGAGGTCCAACCTGTTGACCTTTGCTGCATGTCTTTCTTCTTTCTCACAACCCAAATAAAGACGATTAGATCCAAGATTATTCTTTAAAAGATTGGATCTTTGGTAAAGCATTTAGAGCTTTAAAATCCAAGTTTTCAAGTTTGTAAAACTTTACTACAAGACTTATTACTACAAGTCTAGTTTCTTTGCAAGTGTGTCTTTATTTACATTGAGACAACAACGCATGCTGACAGTTTTCAGTTTGATGTTAATAAGCTGCTGAACAATTTTTATTTTACAAATGTTCTGAGGTTCATGTTTCTGTCTTAAAGCTTCTGGACAAAAGAGGTCCCCCATTCTTCGGGAGCAGCTCTGCATATGCCACAAAGAAAAGCCAAAGAGAGCTGGAGAGCAGAAGACAAGGCAGTGAAGCACAGATTCATCTGTGAGCATCCTATGACTGTTTGGCCCTACAACTAACACTGTTCTGTTAAAGCTTCAGCGAGGAATACTCAACTGTGTCATCATTTTTTGCTAATCTAAATTTTATGCCCACGGCAACAGGCTCGATAAACTATCAGCAACCCTGCTGAAGGGCTCCAGGGAAAACACAAATCAAGTGTTTTCAAATTTGCATTGAGGTTGTCTCTCTTGCGACAGTCTCAATGCAATCTGACAAAAGCCAGGTCCAGATGGTCTCCCATCAGTCTTTCAAGCAATACTCAAACCTACTTTCTGTTCAGTTTAGGCCGCCTTTACCAATTGCTTTAAACAAGGATCCCTCCCTCATTCATTTTATAAGGCTTGTATCTCACTTATTCCAAAAAAAGGGAAAGATCTGATGGATTGCACCTTATGCAGACCTTTTTTTCTCCTGAATACAGATGTCAAAATTTTAGTCAGAGTTCTTGGTCGCAGGCTGGAAATTGTTCTACCATCAGTTATTTCAAAAAGCCAAAACAGGTTTCATTAAAGGTCGGCCTCATATTTTAAAGTTGGAAGATTGTTTAACAGCCTGTTGTCTCTTTGACTATCCTTTTGTAGTCCTCAGTAGATTTGGCTTTTGGGGGAAAAGACATTTCATGGATTAAATGATTGCACCATCAGCCGTCTCCTACAGTTTGTACTAATTTTCACACCTCAAAACCTTTTAAAATACAAACTGGCAGCCATGAGCGCTGCTCTTTAAGCCCCCTCGTTCTTGTTTTGGCCATAGCCCTTACCATTGCAATTAGGACCAGTGAGGAGATATCCAACATTCAGAGCAGAGCAGTGATAAGGAACATCAGGCATCACTTTATGCAGACGATCTTTCTGTGTCTTTCCATTTTGCTCTCGATTTGTTTAGCCAGATTGGTCAGATTTCTGGGTATAGCTGAACTTTACCAAATGTGAGCTTTTTCCTGTAGGTCAGGGGAGGGCAACTCCAGGCCTCAGGGGCCAGACTCCTGCAACTTTCAGATGTATCCCTACTTCAATACACCTGAGTCAAATAATGAGGTCATTTTCAGGACTCTGGAGAACTTGACTGCACTTTGGAGGTGATTCAGCTGTTTGATTCAGTTGTGTTGGACCAGGGAGACATCCAAGAGTTGCAGGTCACCGGCCCTCGAGGGCCAGGATTGCCCACCCCTGCTCTAGGTAGTAAAACAAATATGTCAGATTTTACTACTGCCTTCTCCTATTTCTGATTTTATTATTGGACTGCCAACCTTAGATGCATAGTGTTTAATATTTTATCATAACTTTGCTTACCGTCCTGACTGGGTGATCATAGAATTACACAGTGACAAAAAAAAATATCCCTTACTGCCGTTCACTCAGTTTCTTTGGCAGAGTCAAAAGAAACTGAGACATAGTTACTTTGAAAAAGTAACTAATTGAATTACTGATTACTCTTCAAAAAAATAACTTACTTTACTGATTACTTAATTGGAAAGTAACTAAGTTACATTACAAGTTACTCATTAGTTACTGCTACCACCTCAATATAAATATTACATTGAGTTTTGCCAATGCTTACATAATGACAAGTTATTTTATAATAACATCAACAGTGTATATTCACTTATAAGGTTGAACTGAAGGGGAGATTGTTTAATGGTTACAACAGTCCAAAAAAAAAAACAAACAAAAAGTACTACTTTTTGCGTGTTTCAGTAGTGTCTAGAAAACTAATGGTGCGCTCACAACAAATGTGTTTCACGTGTCTGGTTTTCATTTAAAGTCTATGTGGAGGCGCATCAAAGGCGCCTTGCAGCGCGATTTGTATGTCTGGCGCAGCGTGATTCATACGTCTAGCGCAGCGCGACTTGAAGCGTTTGACGCGTCCAACAAACAGGCTGGCAATAGAAACAACGGCTAGAGCGATTTTGACTCATCTGCCGCGCCATCGACCTGCCTCCACATAGACTGAATGGGAAGCAGATTCACCTGATGCGTAAAAACACTAGGTGTAGGGCAAAGTGTCAAGCGTCAGCTTTCAAACTTGAAGCGTTGGACGCGTTTGGTGTAAACGCCCCATAAATAGGATCTTAGAGTCTCCTCTCCCTGCTACCCAGCGGGTCACCGGCCCTCGAGGTGACCCGGCCTCGAGGGCCGGTGTTTGGCCGGGTCACCAAACACCAAACCAGCCCTTTACATGTTGGTTTGGTGTTTGGTGACCCAGCCAAACACAGGGTGATACAATGTTGACCATGGCAGAGACCTTCTCATTTAAAACCTCATGGGAAGAAGACTTGAACATGACTATGCCAGATGAGATATGGGTCTCTATACTTAAACTTGTGACTGCAACATTTCTGTGTGCGCGCCATTGTCTCATTCAGTTCAAAGTGGTACATAGAGCCCGCTTCTCCGAAAGCAAACCATCTCATATCATCTACACTGTGATGAAAGCAAAACTGCTGAAGCCACACTGGGTCATATGTACTGGTGCTGGCCCAGTCTTGGTCAGTTCTGGACAGATGTTTCTCATACCCTGTCCAGGTTCCTGGTTCTCTCTTGGCTCTTTTTAGCTTCTGTGTTGAGGAATTTCTCCAGCCTCTAAAAGACAGGCGTTGTCGTTTTGCTCTCTGTTAGCGAGCTGCACAGTTCTGACCAGATGGAAAGATGTTGCTCCTCCAAAGCACAAAGAGTGGTTATAAGATCTTAGGTCATGCTTGAAACTGGAAAAAAAAAATTATCTTCTATTTAGCACTCAACTGGAAAATTTAAAAAAAACAAAAAAAAACATGGGCCCCTTTCTCAACCCATTTCGAAATATTCAAAATATTTCAGATAAACTGATTTTTTATACAGGAAAGATCCTGTGGATGCAAAGGAAGTATTTATCCAACATGGATATGAAATGATAAAGTAAAGTAGGAAAAATTAATCTCTTCAAAGGAATCCTATTCACTCCCATTTAGGGCCAACACACTACAAGTCTACCCCTGACAAAAACGAAGCACATTTTTATGAAGAAAAACCTTCAATAAAAAGATCGTGATAAATAAAAACACAATCTCAGCTGTTGGACTGTTGAAGCAATTTTTAAGATTCTTAGATTTCCTCCATTTGAAAAGATCAGATACGAATTGGATCTAGAACCAAATATCCAAGTTGCTGGGGTTGCATTTGTAAAAATCAGATCTGTGTTCAGACTTTCATAAAAAGATCAGGTGCAGGTTGCACTTAGAAAAAAATCTGATTTAGGTCACGTTTGGCTGCAGTGTTAACATAGACTAGGAGAAATATTCTATACCTAGTCATACTACAGTACTAGTTTAGTTTATTTAATCTGAAATTCTCAGACACCAACTATTGGTACAAGTTACTCTCCAGCTACTGAATGTGACATGTCCCTGACACCTTGTGAATGAGCACCTGACTAATTGTTGTGCTTTCTCCTTGAAGCTGATTGACTACTAGGGATTTAAAAGGAACAAGCTCCTCTTCCCAGGGGAGGGAGGGAGTTCGGACAGCATCTGCCTGTCACTCCTGCTCCGGCTTTAATAGAAAACATGTTTTGTTCCTGAAGGGCCCCTTGTTATTAGACTTTTGTGTGCGAGAGTCTGAGGCTGTGCTGAAGGTTCTGGTTTTTGGTTTCAGGGTCAGATCTTGAGGCAGGGTGAGGAGAACGGCCTGAATCTGACAGCCAACTTCTCCCAATCTTTTGTTTATTTTGCCAGGACTCCCAGTACCACTTTGTGTCCAGCCTTGGGTTTATTAAACCTCTCTAATTAAAACATAATCTGGTCTGGACTCCATATATTGTGTGTCCTGTGTGATCACATAAGGACTGTAACATATCGGGGTCTCATCCAATTCCAAAGGATTGTTTAGTTATTTGATATTTATGAGTGCAGTCGAAAACAGTGCTTCTGATCTTTGTGAATTGGAGTTGCACCTTGTACTCTGCTATTTGGCTCTTAGAGAAAGAGAACTTCATCATGAGTTTGATCTGCATAAATTGGAGGCTGAAGCAAATAAACAAGTTTGTTTAAAGAAACATTTTAATGCACATAGCTCATTACGGTGAAGGAATTCAATGGATCAGATGTTGAAAAATTAATGGGAATTAAAAATCTTGTTTGTTTAAATGAGAGAAGAGGCACTAAAGTCAACATGAGAACATGTATGAAATAGACTTCACAATAATTTTGACATTGCTGGCAGGATTTAGTTCATGGCAGGTAGTTAAAGATGCAACAGGAAGTGACCACTATTGCATAGTAACAGAAATAAATTTGCATATTGACCAATATAATACAGGAGGTTTTGCAGAAATGGTGTTCCAGTCATGTTGATTGGGAAACATTTAGGCTTGTAAGCCATCGGGAATACAGAAAATGAATTTGAATAATGAAGTTGATCATTGAGATGGCTTTTTTTGTCAAGTTGTTTACAGGCTGCTAACCAATCTGTAAAGAAGGGAGGAGGTACAATTGAATAAAGGAATGAGAAAGAAACCAAATGTCAAAATAAAGCTCTATAAAATGGAAAGGTTTATTGTGGGTATTTATTTAATAGGAAGAGAAGCACAGATTAATAGGTATGGACATTGATGAGGATATTATGAATAAGGTTATCTAAAAATTTTTACATTTATATAACAGTAATATATTTAATATATTCTTTCAATATATTGGACCTGAGTCCAAAGTTTTTACCGCAAACAATCTATTGTGAAATATGACAAATATTCTTGAATTCTGAAATCCCTTTAAATGAAAAGAAATGTAAAAATAATAAGTTTGCTAAGCAAATACAATAAGATATGATTATTTCTTTATTGAGTTTACAGTCTCAATTTGATTTTATTGGGGATATGTTTTAGAAATATGATGTTTTGATTTTGGTGATTCTGTATGTATGATAGTAATAAGGATTGAAGGATTTTTTTTATTGTCATACCACCTAGCTTGTCAGGCATACGAAATTTGGACCCAGGTCCCAGATTAAGAAATTTACTACACTATAAATAAATAATTTATGTGATGTATCAAAATGTGTGCAAATAATTCATGA